TACAAGGTCCCTTCTGACCCAACTTCTATGATTCTATGATAAACACTGCCCATGTTTGTCTCTGCACCCCAACACAGACACGCTTACCCGCATCTCAGAACAGACAGGCTTGTTGGTACAAAACCTCTCCTGTAGGCTGCAGAAGGGAACGGAGCAGGCAAAGGGCTCATTAGGGACCTCTGTCACCCCTCACCAGAGTGTCTGACCACTGACGCTGCCAGAGAGGACATTTTATCTGTGGGAGAGAGAAATTTACCCTTTGTCTCCCTGCACCTTTGCCTATAGGTATTTTTTGTTTTTGGGCCAACTTCTCTGAGGAATAACAAAGCTTGGGAGCAGGCTGTCATTGTGCAGGTCACCCTCATCTCCAGCTCCTTAATTCCCGGTGTCTGTATTTTTAAAACAGAGCTTTTACCAGGCAGAAGCTTTGATGTCTCTTCCCCCTGCCTTCTCAGACCCAGCTGCGGGGGTCTGTAGCATCCTGGACTGGGTCAGCCCCTTATGAGATCTCTGCTATGTTTTACAGCAACTGAAGCACCCCAACCTGGTCAACCTGCTGGAAGTGTTTAGGAGGAAGCGGAAACTCCACCTGGTCTTTGAATACTGTGACCACACGGTGCTCCACGAGCTGGACAAGCACCCGCAGGGGTGAGTAGTGGGTGCTGGGCTTCATTTGGGGTCTGGCCCCCAGGCCTGGCCGGAGCTGGGGAGAGTCTGTGGTTGTGTTTATTGTGGTGGAGGTTCTTGTTCATAGCAGGTCTGCTGGCTCAGTGTCCAGGCAGCACCGGGTTACCGTGGCTTAGCAGTGTTGTCCAGAAGCATCACTCAAGTGCCTGGGAGTGCTGTTGCTCAGTGTGCCTCACCAAGGAGACTACGTCGCCAGGCCAGAGCATGCGGAGTGATCTTTGGCTGGCTTGGGAGGGGAGCCAAGGGCTTGAGAGGACCTGAGAGGAGCATGCAGCTCTCCCATTTACAGGAGACCATGCCATGCTCACCAGGGAGCTGCGCCTGCTTGCACTTTCAGTGTGTTCCCTTCTTGGCAGGTGTTTGGTGCTGGCTCTGCCCAGCCCTTCTTCTCCCGCAGCTCCCCTGTGGGTTTGTGGCTGATCTGCTATGAGAGTGTGGTAGGAACAGGGCCTTCATCTGCCTTTGATACATGAGAATGATTCCCGGCAACCCAGTCTGGACCGATGGGGAAGTAGCAGGGGACTGAGATCTCCTCGTCCTCAGGAATGGAGGCTAGAGCCTTCAGATTGAAGCCCAGTGCTAGGCTGGCCTGTGAGAAGCCTGCACAGGCTGCCTGGTAGCTGTCTAGTGTTACACCAGAGGTCCAGAGTCCTTGGATGATTTGGGTGGAATACAAGGACAAGCTGGTCAACTCAGAGTGGGGAAATACTGCAATAGGCTGCCCAGGGCTGTTGGGAACCTGCAGAGGTGTTAAGAGCAGGTCAGACCAGCCTCTGTGGGGGTGATGTGATACTTGATAGATCA